AAACTCAGGACATTATGTGAATGTGGGAGCGAAGGGAACTTAGTCACACTTTCAGCGGTCAGCATGTACAGTAAGATGCGTAAGTCCGAATAAAGCATTTTATCCTTGTAGCACATTGTAAAAAGCAGGCAAAATGAAGAAGAGAGATTGTACATTCGTTTCTTTTTGGGGAGATTCACTGCATTTCCTTCTTCAAATTGGTTTGTTTCATCCAGTCCTCAAATTACAGCCATTCGTTTATAGCAGGGGTCTTCAAACTTGGGCCTTTTATGACTTGTGGACTTCAACTCCCAGAATTCCTCAGCCAGGCACACTGGCTGAGGAATTCTGGGAGTTGAAGTCCACAAGCAGGGGTCTTCAAACTTGGCCCTTTTATGACTTGTGGACTTCAACTCCCAGAATTCCTGAGCCAGCATGGCTCAGCTTGGAAACCTCTCCCTTTCCCCTCAGCGTGGCTGGCTCAGGAATTCTGGGAGTTGAAGTCCACGAGTCATAAAAGAGCCAAGGTTGCCCACCCCTGCCCTATATCAGGGGTCCTCAACCTTGGCAACTTTAAGACTGGTGGACTTCAACTCCCAGAATTCCTAAGCCAGCATGGCTCAGCTTGGAAACCTCTCCCTTTCCCCTCAGCGTGGCTGCCTCAGGGATTCTGGGAGTTGAAGTCCACGAGTCATAAAAGAGCCAAGGTTCCCCACCCCTGGTCTAGTATTATTACAGGAAGCCGAATTATGAAACATCTCCCTTTTCTTAAAATAAATCAAAACTGAAGCAAAACCTCATGTTAGCGTCTTGGGGGTCATGTTAAATTTTTCATACTCAAGACTGCGTTATTTACGTCATTGCAGTGAAAACAACTGTGGCGCAAAAAAAGTCGTAAGTTACTTAAGAGTCTGCAAGAATAGCAACTTACCACGGCTTATCTCTTGAGACTTTTGAAGAGAAGAGCATGTGCTGCTTGCTACTGGAGGTAATTAGATTGTCTTTGGGCGTCTTGAATGGCTTTGAGTTGCTGTTTACTGAGTTATGGCCACCGATGCAGGATTTCGGTTTCATCTGTATTAGGCATGCCCTGGAATTGCAGGGTGGAGATGCTGGAGATGAGGAAGATTTACACATTGAACCGTGTCTTCGTTCTGCAATGGGAATATATATATACAGACACATATATATATATATACACATAAATGGATAAAAATAAAAGCAATGAGGGAAGACGAGGAATGCAAACACATAAAAAATTGACAGAAGAGAATCATCGAAGTTCAGGGTTGAACTGTGGGGTGCTTGGTGCTGTCTGAGCTTGGAGGTTTTTTTGCAGACGTTTCATCACCCAACTAGGTAACATCATCAGTGCTAGAAAGAAGTGGGAAGGAAGGAAGGAAGGAAGGAAGGAAGGAAGGAAGGAAGGAAGGAAGGAAGGAAGGAAGGAAGGAAGGAAGGAAGGAAGGAAGGAAGGAAGGAAGGAAGGAAGAGCTATGGGGTGCCTGGTGCTGTCTGAGCTTGGAGGGGTTTTTTTGCAGACCTTTCATCACCCAACTAGGTAACATCATCAGTGCTAGAAAGAAGTGGGAAGGAAGGAAGGAAGGAAGGAAGGAAGGAAGGAAGGAAGGAAGGAAGGAAGGAAGGAAGGAAGGAAGGAAGGAAGGAAGGAAGAGCTGTGGGGTGCTTGGTGCTGTCTGAGCTTGGAGGGTTTTTTTTGCAGACCTTTCATCACCCAACTAGGTAACATCATCAGTGCTAGAAAGAAGTGGGAAGGAAGGAAGGAAGGAAGGAAGGAAGGAAGGAAGGAAGGAAGGAAGGAAGGAAGGAAGGAAGGAAGGAAGGAAGGAAGGAAGAACTGTGGGGTGCCTGGTGCTGTCTGAGCTTGGGTTTTTTTTTTTTTTGCAAATGTTTTATCACCCAACTAGGTAACATCATCAGTGTTAGAAGGGAGTGGGGTGCTCAAAGGAGAGCACACCCCACACTCTTCTAGCACTGATGATGTCACCTAACTGGGTAATGAAACGTCTGCCAAAAAATAACCAAGTTCAGAGAGCACCAAAGGGCCCACATAAAAAAAAAATGGTAAGGTGAAAGCATTGTACATCCTGCCAAGTAGATATACAGTATAATGTTAATATAACTTGAGATACCAGCCCTTAGAGGCAACAAATAGCGGAATAGTATTACTTTCAGATTGCACTTTCCTATACTACCTAAATGGACAATTGTAATAGTGTCCTTGCTTACAGATCCAAACTCATGGATAAAACCAGAAAACAAAATTATCCAGTTTCCCCCTCCACCCTCTTCCATTCAGTTGTGTCCAATTCTTGGATACCGTCTGGGTAAGTCCCTGTGGTTTTCTTGGCAAGATTTTTCAGAAGTGGTTTGCTGTTGCCTTCTTCCTAGGGCTGAGTCAGAGTGACTAGCCTAAGGTCATCTAATTGACTTCGTGGTCAAGGCAGGAATAGATTTCAGAGTTTCTACTCTGATGCTCCTGGGGAGGAAAGCCATGGCAAATCTAGACAGCATACTAAAAAACAGAGACGTCACCCTGCCAACAAAAGTGCGTATAGTCAAGGCCATGGTTTTCCCAGTTGCAATGGATGGCTGTGAAGGTTGGACCATAAGAAAGGCTGAGCACCAAAGAATGGAGGCCTTTGAACTCTGGTGCTGGAGAAGACTCCTGCGAGTCCCCTGGACTGCAAGACGATCCCACCGGTCAGTCCTGGAGGAGATCAACCCCGACTGCTCTTTAGAAGACCAGATCCTGAAGTTGAAACTCAAATACTTTGGCCACCTAATGAGAAGGAAGGACTCACTGGAGAAGAGCCTGATGCTGGGAAAGATGGAGGGCAAGAGAAGAAGGGGACGACAGAGAATGATGGGGCCGGATGGAGTCACTGAAGCAGGAGGCGTGAGCTTCAATGGACTCCAGAAAATGGTAGAGGACAGGAAGGCCTGGAGGAACGTGGTCCATGGGGTCGCGATGGGTCGGACACGACTTCACAACTAACAACAACAAGTCTGATGCCTTAAACACTACCCCAAACTCTCTCTCATCCAGTCTTCAGGACGTACAAAAGTGTACCGTGTCTTTTCATTCTACATCCCTCGCTGTATTATGCTGTATGTATAAGCTTTCTATAAATATAAATAAATTAGCCATCTTCATTCAAACAGAGTCATTTTTATTTCCCATGCAAAAGAGCAATGCTTCTCATGAGGCAATACTTCAGAAAGTAAAAGTGAGAATTACTGTAAAATGGCCACCATCTATATAAATAAAAATGTAAATGTTCGTTTATTCAAAATCTTTAAATCTCCGAAAGTTCTTCACCGATTGCTTTGAAATTTTCACATAACGTTGCATTCGAATACGCGCGCGTTTTTATATACCTATATTATATAGATGTCACACCTCTGACAGGTAAAAACATGGGTTTTTTTTGAAAAACAGCGCCATCTATTGGACGTAAAAGCAACACACGCTTTTACCAGACTGAGCCACAGCAACGCGTGGCTGGGTACAGCTAGTTAAATTATATATGTGTATGGTGCAATCTATGTTTTAATTTTATCCTGTTCCTATGCATGAGAAGCATCAAGTACTGAAGCGAAGTAGCTCGTTCATCAATCAGTTAAAACCTTTTAAATAGTCCCAAGCATTTAATCCCATTTTTTAAAATCAGGGTTAGGATATCCCAAGAATGTGCCACGATCAAAAACGTTCCAAATCAATCTTATGATTTGCTCTGCTGCTGCAATCTAGTTACAATAATTCTGTTATGGAGAGTCATGATTTACTACAGGAAATGCAACCAGGTGAAAGAAAGTCTTAAGTAATTTTAACCTTCACAGGCAAGTTACACCATTTCCCAACATTTATGAGTTAACATTCACCAATGTTAAGTAGCCTGGGCTAATTATACATCAGCACATTGTGTAACTTGACTTGCATGAACTATTGGTGAATAGTTTGAAAACACACACAACATAAACTGCCAAAAATTCTTCGGTTCTTGCTAAATACTTCAGTGAAGACAAGAAGAAGAAAAAAATAACGAAGCACTGTAAATGTTAATTAGAAAGAACCCCAAATGTTGGGTTTAAACAAACTAAACCCACTCAAGTACGAATTCATAAATGGTGAATGGAAGAAGAAACACATTTGAAGCAACAAATATTTTATATTTATTGTTTTATTTTAAATAGATGCTCCTCATTTAATGCTAAAATCCTGATCTGATTAACTTAGATTATTGTCAACTAATGCTTTTTTCCTTTCTGCTAATAAAAGCTGTTCATAACTTAGTATCTACAGGTATTCCTCGACTTATAACAATTCATTGATGGACTATTTCAAGTTACAAGGGCACTGAAGAACGCGGCCTATGACCGTTTTTCACACTTATGACCATTGCAGCATCCCCATGGTCACGTGATCAAAATTCAGACGCTTGGCAACTGACTCATATTTATGACGGTCACAGTGTCCTGGGGTCAAAGTTTCTGACAAGCAAAATCAAAGGGGAAGCCAGAATCACTTAACAACTATGCTACTAACAACTGAATTGCAAAATGGGACAAAACTCACTTAACAACTGTCTTGCTTAACGACGGACATTTTGAGTTCAATTGTGGTCGTAAGTTGAGGACCACCTGTATCTGTACTGAATTTTTATGAATCAGATATAAGCATCTAAAATATACTGCACTGGAAATTTAACCTGAAAGAAACAACCAAGATACATCTCAAAACGTCAAATTACTATTAATCTTTGCTTTTCAACGTTTAATTATTTTACCACGTACACAAAATGGACTGACTGGAAAAAAGATTGCAAGATTGTTATTTCACGATAACAAGGCTATAAATTTCAGGCCTTAAGACGACAGTTACAAAAAACATCAAGCAATAAAATAAACTTCTTCTGGATAGCTGCCAAATTCTGAATTAGTATTTGAAAGTGTAAAATGTAACACTGATAAGAAAATAAATAAAATATAGCTTTTGGAGATGCGGCAGTGTATTTTGCCCCAGTAGAGCATCCAACTATTCATAAAATGCATAATCTGCACACCAAAATTTAGATATACAGGTTAAAATAGTCCTTCTTTAAGAGTTGGGAGCAGTGGCAAAATTAACACTAAGCTGAATGGAAGGAGGTCCCCATCTCCATTTCTAGCAGGTTTTTTTACATCCTGGGTTTCCATTACATAAAGGAATAGGCCATCATAAAGCCACATTTTCCCTGTTCTGCCCATATAAAGCTGAATGAATTTAAGAAACATAAGACTGAAGGCCTATGTCCATGAGTAGAGTAGAAATAGAATAGAATAGAGTAGAATAGAATATGAAATGGAGAGAATAGAACAGAACAGAATAGAATATGAAATGGAGAGAATATAACAGAACAGAACAGAACAGAATATGAATAGAATAGAATAGAATAGAATAGAATAGAATAGAATATGAAATGGAGAGAATAGAACAGAACAGAACAGAACAGAATATGAAATGGATAGAATAGAATAGAATAGAATAGAATAGAATAGAATAGAATAGAATTATGAAATGGAGAAAATAGAACATAACAGAACAGAAGAGAATAGAATATGAAATGGATAGAATAGAATAGAATAGAATAGAATAGAATAGAATATGAAATGGAGAGAATAGAACAGAACAGAAGAGAATAGAATATGAAATGGATAGAATAGAATAGAATAGAATAGAATAGAATAGAATAGAATAGAATAGAATAGAACAGAATATGAAATGGAGAGAATAGAACAGAACAGAAGAGAATAGAATATGAAATGGAGAGAATAGAATAGAATAGAATAGAATAGAATAGAATAGAATAGAATAGAGATGGAGCGGACCTTGGAGATCATCTAGTCCAACCCCCTGCTCAAGCAGGAAACCCTATACTTTTTCAGACAAATAGATGTCCAGTTTCTTCTTGAAAACCTCCAGTGATGGAGCACCCACAACTTCTGAAGGCAAGCCCTTCCACTGATTAATTGTTCTAACTGTCAGGAAATTTCTCCTTAATTCCAGGTTGCTTCTCTCCTTGATTAGTATTCATCCATTGCTTCTAGTCCAGCCTTCTGGTGCTTTGGAGAATAGCTTGACCCTCTCT